ATTCATCAGTCTACTTACAGGATTTTTTTTTGAAAGGGGGTTAAAATCTACATTTTAAGCTATTTAGGAGGCCTTCTTTTGGTTGAAAGGCAACCAATAATATGAATAAATCATTTAGAAAAATGAGCATCCATTGGAATGACTGATTGAATTCACAGTGTCCCTACTTGGGCTGGTACAAGATATGAATCCACAGTGCAGTGTCCTTTATCAATGTTGTGATGTTGTGGCAGATGTTAAAAAGCACACCCCAGTAGCGTTGGCATTACAAATTCTGGAATAACTGCTGTCCACAGAGAATAGTGGCAGCTCTCGTGGCAATGCTAAATATACTTTCGTCGCTGTGTGGATGCTTTGCTTTCCGGAAACAGCACTGCTGTTCTGCCTTCAATTATGTGATGAGCAATTGATAGATTACCTTCAGTTTTGCCTTTCCTCATGGTTACGGCCCTCTACTGCCTCTTTCAAGACAAACCTAGAGGAGCTAGAAGGAGGAGGCACTTCTGCTGGGTTTCTGAATGAGCAGTGTGAGACGGTAGCGACTCTGAGTCAGTTAAGTGCCCGAGTGGGATAGACCAGAACAGCAGGCTCTGGAGGGCTGCGTATTGCTGAGACAGGGCGCCAGGCCCTCTGGACCAGGATTGGCAACACTGGCTGGCAGCTGTCTAGCGTTTCAGGCAGGGGTTTTCCCCGCCCTACCTGCAGAAGTCCAAGGCGGAATCTGGGCTCTTCTGCATGTCAAGGACACGGCCTGCCTCTGACCCACAGCCCCCTGCATCTTCCTCCTCAGGAACGTAACAGCTGGTGTGGCACAGTCAGATGAAAATTTGGGGGATCTGGGTTCCAGCCATGAAGCTCACAGGGTGACTTTGGGTCAGTCACTGGCCCCCAGCCTACCCTACCTGGCAGGGCCGTTGTGAGGATAAAATGGAGGGGTGGAGGGCTATAGAGGATGCTGTATCCCCCCTGCCTCAGCCCCTACTTGGAAACAAGGAGAAGGAGGGTGCTCTGGTTCTGACATCCTCCTCCTCCTGGTTTGTACCGACCTGAAAAAGGCTCGCCTTTATCCAAATGTTTGAATAAACCTTTTGGAGATGTTCTGTTTGTAGTTTAGAGTCTCACTGTTTCTGCACCAGTTGAACTCCTGCCCTCTCCCCATTGCACAACTTGTGATGCGCAACTCTTGTTCATGGGCAAGTGTTGCGTCTAGTTCTTCTTGTGCTTGTTATAGCTAACCAGTGCAATCACTGCAGCGTGATGGATTCTGCATTTAATGTTGCCAAAGCTCTCCTCTATGGATTGAGCTCGCGCGCGCACGCGTGCGCGCGCGCGCGCTCTCTCTCTCTCTCTCTCTCTCTCTCTCTCTCTCTCTCTCTCTGCATACGCAAGTGCGCATGTGCACACCATTGAGTTTTCTTCCCCAAGGCGTATATTTTAGTCAATAGCAATGTCATTCAAATTTGGGCTAGGAGACATTCCCATTGCACCGGACTATTTTCAGTACTAACCACTGGACAGCCTCTTTGGCAATGACAGAACCAGTTGGAGAGTTGAATGGGGCTGGAAAGACCAATTTGTCTGCTTCATATCTGCCCCTCCTTTGCTGCGATCGGGCCCCCCTGCCCACCCCCAGCCTCTGCTCAAGCCTGTGCCACAGGCAGTTCATTGCAAATCTCAAATCTCATTATCGTGTTTCTCTTCACAAAATTTTGGTGGCAGAATATGCCTTTTTGCACGTGCCTGACAAGAATCCAGGACCGAGCTGTAATTTTGAAGCAAGTTTTCTCTTAATCTACTGAACTGCTCCAACTTTGATGGTGGTAATCAAAGTTTATATTGTTAATTTATATTATTTTATTGAATTTTATTTATTTATGGTTTGTGAGCCGCCCCGAGGCTTCAGCAAATGGGGCGGCACAGAAGTCGCCTAAATAAATAAATAAAATAAATAAATAATCAGAGATTGCAGCTCTGTGCCAGTTCCAGTGGAAAGCTTCCCTTTTACACCTGCCTTTCGCAGGCAGGCAAGGTGGTTTTGTGCAAGAGAACCAGGTAAATTATAGCATGTTTGAGTGATTTTTAAAAAAGAATCACCATGATACAAGCTTCCTCCCAGCCCCTCTTTTTTCTGTGGTGGTGAGGGCCATCCTTCAGAAAAGGAAATTTGCTCAACATCCATTTTTCAGGGTTGTTCATTAAAATCAAAGTTGAGCTGTTTAGGAAACCACATTCTTCACACAGGACCTCATCCTACCCTTTCCCTGCTTTGCTGTGTATGTAACAACAAGCCTGTAAGATACTGGACGGGACCTCAGAACAAACTGAGTAGGTAACTTCAGTTAGTCTCTGTCGAACCTACTTCTCTCTGCACTTGTGTGTTGTCTGCGCAACAACCCGATTGTCTCAGCCTCGAGCTACACACAGCCTTGTGGAGTTTGCAACCCTACGTGGAAAAGAGGCATTAACAGAAATTGCATTTGTGCTCTCCGTCAGGATCAATTTTGTCAGCAGGCTTGTCCCTGCTTTTGTCTGTACTTTTGGATTGCCTCTGAACGACTCGGATTTTTCTTTCTCTGGTTAGCCCCTGAACTAGATTTTCAAATGAGGTTGGTTCTGTTGGGATGCGCTAGAAAGCAAAATAAATTTGTAGAGTTACTTTCATAGGATGCTATTGAACTACTGAGTTTCAGAGCAAATCTAGGGAATTTAATTTAGAAATGTGGCTTAGCATGCCCCGGCAAAGTGCAAATAAGCCACTTGGGGATGAATAAGTTTTGTGCATTTCTTGGCTTAGATTTATTATTGGGGATCAAATAACTTAATAAGTTATTAACTTTGATGATAAAGAGGATGCATTTTTATGGCTGGTAGAAATTTGACCCAAGAATCTCCCAGGCTTGCCTTTAGCTAGAAAAATAATCATTAATCCATTAATCATTGGCTTAATCCAAGTATTAATGATGAACTAAACATTTTAGTCTCAGGTAAGGCTTGCCACTGCTGACCATAAGAATCCTTCTGGAATTTTGTGTGTCGCCACCACTGTATCCGTGCTTGTTCAGAAAAGCACTTCAAAATTCAGTGAATGTGGAGAGGTTTGCTTGCGACAGTTTATTTCCAGAATCCGCTTTTCAAGACCAGGACAGCACCTGAGATAAATGAAGTCACCATAGAGAAAATGTCTCTGAAAATGTTCAGTCTTTCCCCTGAGCACTGCTGCCTGTCCGTGCACTTTTAATACTGTGCCTTTCTACTAATTCACCCCCCCTTCTCTCCCACCCACCCCAAGCACGATGAATGTGATGTAAAAGGGAAGGTCCGATTCTGTCATCGATCTTTTCAATTATCTTTGCAGAGTGGGCATGTAACCCAATCAGCACTGGCACCCAGAGCAAGCTGTCACATGACGGCAAGGCAAGAGAAGGGCTTCCATCCTCTTCTTGGTGCCTGTGGAAAGTGTCTGTTCTCTGCAGTGGAAAGGTGGAACTGAAGGCAAAGTGCATCGAAAGCTTCCCAGCTTTATTCCTGAAGCTGTTTCTAATAACTGATTTTAATTATTGTCTTACTTTGAGTGCCCAGTGCAACCTTAAGTGCACTATTAATTGTCTTCCCATTTTCCCCTTTAGAGCCAGTCTGGGACTGCAGGTGGTGCAGTGGTTTAAACCGCTGTGCTGCTGGGCTGGTTGATCGAAAGGTCGCCGGTTCGAATCTGCACAACGGGGTGAGCTCCCGCTGCTCCGTCCCAGCTCCTGCCAACCTTGCAGTTCGAAAGCATGCCAATGCAAGTAGATGAAAAGGCACCACTTCGGTGGGCAGGGAACAGTGTTCCGTGCACCTCGGTGTTTAGGCATGCCGGCCACGTGGCCACGGAGACCGTCTGCGGACAAGCGCTGGCTCCCTCGGCCAGGAAACGGAGATGAGCACTGCCCCCTAGAGGCAGGCATGACTGGACTTCATGTCAAGGGGAAACCTTTACATTTACATATATATGTTCAAACTTAAGTGATATGGAAGACCACTCCCTTGGGTCGATTCATTCACTTGGCCCTAACCTATACTGCAGTTTGCCAGGTAGATCCATGGGATCGTAGGAAGCCTTTCTGCCATGCTCTAGACGCTATTAGGAACACCGAGCAAAGCAGGAAACGGCACATGGTTTGGAGATCCTGTTGCACTGAATTATAGCTAAGCATGGAGTATCACCATGAAGGAAGGGAGATCCCATGGAGATCATCCGAAAAGCAGGGCAGCCATCCCAAGCTTAACAAGGCCTCTCCTAAGACCGATCCAAGTGGGAAAGGCCATCCATGTTCATCACTGACATACATCCCAAGTCAGAAACTTCCCTGAACAGAAAAGCATGTAGGCAAACGCCATGCTGAGCAATGTAGTCCAGCTATGCAGCATAAGCAAGACAAGACTCTTGGCTGGAACAGGACTTTCCCGACCGTTCGCCTGCCTTTCCGTCTCACTGCCTCCTGGCCCTACTGCCTCACTCCATGTTGGTGTACTTTCTGCTTTGGATTGCAAATGAAGTATATGAAGAGAGCCAGTGTGGTGTGGTGGTGAAGAGCGTGGGACTGGAACTCAGACGATCCGGGTTTGAGTCTCCACTCAGCCATGGAGCCAACTGGGTGACTGGGCCAGTCACAGCCTCTCAGCCCAGCCTACCTCGCAGGGTTGTTGTTGTGGGGATAAGATGGAGGAGGAGAATGATGTGAGCTGCCCCAAGCCCTTTGTAGGAAAAAGGCAGGATATAAATTGGAAAATAAATAAATAAAATTATAGAAAAATGCAAATAATGGTGGGTGGGCCGTTTATTCCTGCAACTATTCCAGAGGTATGTCCACTGAGACGAGGCGGGCTGAACACGGCATTAGCTCCCATGGATGAAGAATTTCATTCTAACGGACATTCCATTTCCTTACAGATTTCTCGGGGGATAAAACTTGTTCTCACACTCTACTGGGATAAAAATGAACTGTCATCTCCACTGAAAACTGGTAGCATCAGCTCTGCCTGACACATGCCACGAGGAACGGTCACTTAAAGTCTGCTGAAAGTAAGTCAAATGGACTCCTCGAAGATCGCCGTAATTGTTTCTCCAGCTATTTTTGGCTCAAGGACAGGCACATGTAACAACTGCACCAAGTTTTGTATGTTAAAATAGCGGCTGTTTGTTCCCAAATGAAAATATCAACAAAATGGATGAGTAGGAAATGCGTATTTGGTACTTGTTACAAGCCTGGACCCAAATCACATGACAATATTTTGGGCCTTCTCTCTGGATCACACTGAAATTTTGCAGTAAAAGCACTAAGCAAGTTACTAACATGGAGCTGGAAAATTAACTCCTGTATTTCAGGGTTCATTTTTTCTCCACTTTCTCTGAGTCTCCATTGTGTTTAGCCTTTCAGTTATTTCTATTTATCTGTTTCAGGCTTGTCTTTCTACCCTGCTTGTCTGATGGTCAGTACAGATTACAACAATTTTGAAAACGTAGAGCTTAAACAGCAAGGCAACCATCCACATGCTAGGAATTACGATCAATAAAGAAATACAAAAAGTTCCTCACACGCATGCACATTCTTGATCGATCGATCAATTGATCGATCGCAAACTACCCCGGGGAAGAATACTGTCGTGGCATTCCACTGAGAAATAAAGCAGAGAGAAAGAGGTTCAGAAGAAACGCTCTGCTTCCACCTGAATAAAAGGGCTCTAGTCTAGAGGAAAGAGAGTTTTAAAATGCCCCCTTTTTGCAGGCCTGCAATCAAGTGTGATTCTTCGAAGATTTGCGCTCCCAAGCCTCAAGCCTTGTTCCTGCTCTTATTATGTATGAAGCACTGACTAGTTCTAATTTCCCCCTGCCTCCTTTTCCGTGGATCGGTTGATTCCTGCTTGGTCTAGACTTTCACCACAAAGAAAAGCCACCAGCCCAAGACAACCCATGATCAGTGCCTTGATCAAGGTGTCATTTCCTTTCTCAACATAAATACCTCGTTCACTTTATTTATTTATTTAGTTAGTTAGTTATTTAAAACATTTCTATGCCACCCCATCGCAATAAGCCTCAGGGCGGCTCACAACATCAAAAAATAAAAAATAAAAATTAACCATACATTAAAACCCCAGTGCCATAAAACCTCAATAAAACCTCAGTGCATTCTCGGCTAAAAATTAAAAAACAAACAAACAAAACCTAGTTAAATAAATAATTTAGCAATTAAAATAAGTTTTAAATAAAAAGGTCTTGGCCTGGCGCCGAAAAGCAAATGACGGCAGCACCAAGTGGACCTCTCTGGGGAGCGCATTCCATAAATGGGGCGCCACCACAGAGAAGGCCCTCCTCCAGGTACTCACCCTCCTGATGTCATTCACGGAGGGCTCCCGGAGAAGGGCATCTGCTGCTGACCTCAAGGGTTGGGAGGGCATATATGGGACTTTCTCCCCCACAACCAGATTCCTCATCAGGAGAGCTCTGCGGGAGGGGGGGAGGAGGGCAAGCAGAGCCCAAAACACCACCCTGTGTTACCTGAAAACACCCTCTGCCAGTAATTCAGCTTGAGCAGGGGCATTTCCACCTGGCCGATTGTGGGAAGACTGCAGAAAAAGCAGGGTGTTAAGCAGTCAGTGGATGGAGGAAAGGGGAGCACTGCTGTTGGAGAAGCCCAGAGGAAGGTCAGGCCCATAGAATTGGCCCTTGGGTTTGAAGTCTTGCCCTTCTTGTGCAAGACTATGCAGTGGCTTCTTCCCATGGAAATGAAGTTACTACCCAGCTTTCTTAGGGCTGAAGTTTGGCATCTTGGCTTTGGGAAATAAGCCCTTTCTTGTCCTCTTACAACCTCTCCATGGGCAGCAGAATAAGAATAAGAATCCATGCTTATCGCATCCCTGGAGCTTCACAGCAGCGTCAGGAGATGTTCCAGGTCTTCCAAATTGAAAACCGGCAATGTCTCCTGACGTTGGGAAGTGGGAAGGGGAATGTTTGGAGGACGGCTGAGATCGTTTTTCTTACATGTTCTAGCACTTAAAGAGCTAAGAAAGGAGAAGGACAAACAGGCAAACATGCATAGTTTATGACGGTTGTTCGGCGCTCTCATAAAGCCAAATCACAAATGCAGTTACTGCTTCTTAAACACTTTGAATCAAGATTAATTCTCCCTCTGAACTGAGCAGAATCCTGCAGCCAGCAGGTCGCCCCCCCTCCAGTACATTACTAATGAAACGCAGAAGTGGTGTGCAGTAAAACATCCTAAATAAGCAAGGAGAGACAACAGAGCTGAAGCCGGCGTGGCTTCAGCAGTTTTGCAGGTGCTGTGAAAGTCATTGCAAGAGTCAGTTCTTCTAGAAGAGGCTCTTCCTGGGACTTCAGTCCAGTTCACCTTTTTACTGTCAGATGCCTTCATTCTAGCTTTCTCTCTCCCATGTGCCCACTTTCCCCCCTCTACTTTCATCCCGGTTTTTCTTTCCTCATTGTGTTATTTCTGATTCTGGTGTGCTTGTCCTTTCTATAGCTGTAGGCCTTGAAGGATGGAGGCCAAGGAGGCCTTTCTCTCCTTGAAGGATGGAGTCAAGGAGAGACACCAGCTGTGAAGGCATAGAGGCAGGGTTAGTACAAAACACCCTTTGAAAGGGGTAAATCCCCATTGCCCCATGTTACTCTACTCAATGGGGAGGTGCTGTGTTATCCCACATGTACATTAGATGTCCTGTTTGCAGTCACTGTTCATTATAAATTAATAAATAAATTGAAGTAGAAAGGAAAGGAAAATCTATATATTAAAAAACTAGAGCAGTTAATGCACTAGGTTATCTGTCCAATTGTTATTCGCACTTGTGTATACTATTTTCAGCATAAGAGTCCTTATACAAGGGGTTTTCAAAAAGTTTCCACTATTTTATATTTTCTAAATATATTTTATATATTTTTTGCTGATGGCCTTAAAAAGTTGTTACGATGCTGGGAAAAGTGCATCGCAAGGGAAGGTGACTATCTAGAAAAGTGATGGAATTTGGTTTTGAAATTGTTAATAAATAGAGTTAAAACAGTGTGGAAACTTTTTGAAGAACCCTCATATATTTAGATCCTTAGATGAAGGGCTTCATTGAGAGGAATGGGCCAAATATTAATGCTTATAATTGTTACTAGTGGCAAAGTGTAGAATTGGTGTGGGAGGTTCTTTGTTCATCCAGTTGGAACAAACAATCCGAAGGCAGAGTTTCTAATTTCCTCATGACTCACAGCTCCTTTGCCAGTTTTTTCTCCCTGTGCTTAAATTCGTCCTTTACTACATTTACCGCTAAACTGACATAGCCGGCTTTTGCGCTCCCTCCATGTGGCGCTAGAGCAAAGAGCATTTGTGGAACCATCTCCCTCCTCGTCCACCTGTCTGCTTAGGAGCGGAGGAAACACCGTTGTCCGGATCCTCCCGTGTCCGCCATATGCATCACCCTCCTCCTCTGCTAAATATTTACTTCTCAGCTCCTGTACCTCGGATACTTAATTTCTAACCAGAGGTAACTTGACCTGCACCAGCCATGAAGGTGATGTGTGGCAAGCTTTGGACGTGCCCAATTCTTGCCCATGTCTGTGGGGGCTGCACATGGCTTTTTCGTGGTGTGGGCCCCAGACCACTCAGGGCTGCGTGCATGAATTACATGCAGCCCGTTGAGGTGCAACTCAACATGTGAACAGCCCACACGTTTACGAGCAATGAAACTAAAGTCCTTTATTGCTACTTGTCTACAAGATTTCCAGCTCTATAGATAACCTCTACTGTTGAGTTCTTTGCAAAGCAGATGCTAACCCTTTAGTGGCGCTCTCCCCGAGCCCTCTCTCCTGGCCCGCCTTTCTTCCCTCTGGCATAACAAGGCTTGCCTTTGTTCCCACCTCCTCAGAGCTCTGCGATTGGGTGCTAGGGAAAAGTCTATCATGCCCCCTGTGTCTCCTGTGTCGTGCTCAGGAAGTTCAGCGTCCAGAGGGGAAGCGACGGTCCGCTTGAACTCTTTCTGAGCAGTGCCTGTTCCCTCGGGGCTCCCTTGCTGTGATGTGGGCTCGGGTGTTTGCTCAGTGGGCGGGGAGTCGGGGGGAGGTACAGCCATCTGCTCAGCCACCCCCAGGCTAGGTGGTGGGGTTGGCATGGGGGTGCAGGGTCCCAAGCACAAGACCTCCTCGTGAGGCGCTGCCTCTGTCGGGGCTTCAGGCAGTAATGTTGCAGTAATGTCATGGATCTTGCCAAGGTGGTCTGCTGTTGATGGATGAGGAAGATCTGCATGAAAAGGCACGGCCCTACCTGGGAGGCGACCTAATTCATGTTCTGCATCTGATACACACACAAACGCATACGAGAAAGGGGGTGGGTTGGAATTGGAATAAAGTAGCAAGGTGGAAAGGTGTAATTAGTGCTGTGAATGTGTAGGAGGGGATTGAACTGATTTCACACCCATGTAAAAGAGGGCTCTGGCTTCTGTCATTTATTCTTCCCTGTCCTGATTTGACATGTCCTACAACTCCTTTTTAGCATAGAATCCTAGAAGAGTAGAGTTGGAAGGGGCCAAGAAGGCCATCGGTTCCAACCCCCTGCTGTTGCCAGACAGCAGGTCACACCATCCCACTCAGGTGGCTGCCCAGCTTCTTCTTGAATGCCTCCAGTGTGGGAGAGCCCCCTCACCTCTCTAGGTAGCTGGTTCCACCGCCGTATTGCTCTGACAGTGAGGAAGCTTTTCCTGATGTCCACCCTGACTTGATTATTCCGTGTCCTACAATCTGGCATCAGCAAAAATAGATCTTGGCCTTGCTCTTTGTGACAGCCTTTGAGGTGCTTATAGAGGGATCTCATGACCCCCCTCAGTCTTCTCTTCCCAAGGGTGAACATGCCCAGTTCTCCCAGTCATTTCTCAGTGTTTCCAAACCCTGGATCACTTTTGTTACCTTCCTCTGGCCCCTTTCTAATTTTCCTGCATTATTCTTAAATCTTGGTGCCCAAAACTGGACACTGCATTTATAAGCTGCCTGGAGAACCTTTGAGTTATGGGGCAGCAGAGAAACAGGAACAAATAAATAAGTTTACTTAGGAGTAAATCCAACTATGTTCAATGGGACTTCCCCCAGAGATGAATTTACACAGCTGCCACCTTAATGCTTCCTCTGAAATTGCTGTAACCTGTCCGGGGAGCCTTGTGGCTAATGGGATGGGTTAGAAACTTAAAATCATCATCATCGTCATCATAAAATGAGGTGGGGACTTTTAGATTTTTCCAGGGCAATCCTTAGATACCACAAATGTCTGAATGAGACATTTGCTGCACCTTAAGCATAGCCCAGCCAGCGTGGTTTAAGGCTTTTGGACAGGCTGGGCCACTACAACATAAGTAATAGATATAGAAAAACTACCAAGGGGAAATTAAGAATCTGTTTAGTATGACAGCAGTGCTTAAAAATAGTCAACGTATTTAAGTGTTTGGTGAGTTCGGAGTGTCACTTTGGTGGCAGAAGTATTTTTTCCCAATGGCTTGACCAACATGAATTAACTCCCTTCTGCTACCCATTTAATTTATTGTTGTAAGCCGCCCCGAGGCTTCGGCGAATGGGGCGGCATAAAAATGTTTTAATAAATAAATAAATAAAATAAAAATAAAATTTATTCAGATATAAATAATATTGGCCTTCTCTTACGTTTGCCACCTCTAATCTTCAGTTGTTGTTTCTTACCTTTGAATTTAGGTAGAATCGATCTATTCTGCTACCAAATTGATGAATAGGTTAATTGATTGAACAGTGACAGAGTTCTCGATTCCAGTTTTTTGGTACAGCTTTCCGAGGGAGAAGAGATCTACTGAGTTTGGGAGAGGTCTGGAATTGCTGTGGAAGCAGCCTGTTCCAAGACTGAATTCTTCCTGCCTCAGTAAAAGGAGGACAGACATGTCCTGTGATGTGGCACGGCACGGCCTGGGTCCTTTCAGCCCTACCTTTGAATGCTAAAAGAGAGGCAGTGTGGTGTAGTGGTTAAGAGCATGGGACCGGAATGTAGTCCCTGCTGGGCCATGGAGCCAACTGGGTGACTTTGGCTCAGCCCAGCCTACCTCACAGGATTGCTGTTGTGGGGATTCGAGCGAGAGCAGGAAGGGAAGCATTATGTAAGCCACTTTGAGTTCATTGTAAGGAAGAAACGGAATATACATTTAATAATTCAATGACACACGATGCGCCAGTGATCTATCAAAAGCACTAAATGTGCCGTGGATACGAAAACTGCGCACCACCTCATATAAAATAAACATCGCTGCTCCATAACAAATATGGTTTTCATGGAAAGTGCGATAAGAAACGAGCAATTTGTCCTGAGAACTGGTAAGATGGTGTCATGAGTTCCCTAGGCTAAGCTTACATTTCTTATGCCCCGTTTCCTTTAGAAACAGAACGGAAAAGAGCATGCATTTAATTGTCCATATCCTATTTCGATTGTGTATTTTTTGTACAGTTCTGCAATGGGAAAATACAGTTTGCTTTTCCCTTGGAGCACACGTAAAATGCATCCCATTATCTTTGTGGAAAGAAGATTATATTTGCACTTTCTCAGCTGTAGCTGCTGATTCTGTGAGCTACCTACAGATTGGCCCCTGTGCCAGTGAGTCAGTGTCACAGACTGGTGTGGCTGTTTCTTTTCTCAGCAACTGGATGGTGCAGACTTCTGGCAGTAAGTTGCTAAACCTCCATTGCATCACTGAAGCTGAGAACAACCACATCATTGTGCACAGGAAACAGGATTTCCTACCTCTTCAGAGAGACCTCTGTGCACAGAATGTATTATATTATTAATCTGATGTATTAAAATACGGAACTGTGCTTGTGCTCTGCTTTTCCAAGAGGCTGCTTGCATTTTAGGTTAATACAGGGGGGTTTCTGTTTCTTTAAGGTCTGCAGTGCCATTGTGATTCAGCTGCCTCGGAAATTATCTACCGGGGAATCTGGCCAGCTGTTGTGGCAAACGAGAGGATGGACTAAACTGGCCATCTTGAGTAGTCTCATCTTGCCTGCTTGCTGATTTGTGCTTTTGGAAAGTTGCTATGACATTTCCCTCTGCACAGAGTGATAATTTCAGAAGTGTTTTCTTTTAAGAACCAGTTTTATTAGCTTTTAAATTCTGCAGTCCAAGACTGCGTGCTCTCTCTGTGTGTGTGGGAGAGAGAGAGAACAAACAATTAGGATTATTGGCCTCGATTCTGTTCTATGACGCGTATTTTCTGTAACACTTCTAATATATTACAGTGAAAATAGCAATGGCTTCTTTTAGTCATTGAGTGGGAAAGCAAACTATGCAAGCAATGAAGTTCTTCATATATAACAGAGCATATAGATCTTGCGTTCCTATGGGGAAGCTTCTGAAAACTACTTGCTGATGGCAGTAACTGTATATAAGGATTCGCCATTATGGATCCAGGCAGTTGCTTTGCAAGCTTCAGCGCCTGGACATTCCCAGTGCGATGGCCCAACATGTGTGGTGAATACTCTTATATTTGTCCAGGTACCAATGAGTCACCACACTGGACTTGATCCCATTCCTCTGAAAACCTGCAATGCATTCTGGTAGCATCCTTCTGTCAATTTGCAATGCATTCTGGTAGCATCCCTCTGTCAATTTGCAATGCATTCTGGTAGCACCTCCATGACAATCTCCAGTGCATTCTGAAGGCATCCCTTGAGCAAAACTTTCTCAATGGCAGCCAGATCCGAGTTTTGAATCAGCACCTTCTTGGTTCATAATTCAGACTCTTAGCCACTAGTAGGTGTGTCTTATGTGAAGGTTCTGCCTTTTTAAAGTCAAGGATATGGGTTCTTTATATCGCTACACATTTAAGCGCGCACAATTATATTACCTTCTCTATACTCAGAAGAGTTTCTCCACATAGTTCAATAGAAGGCTAGTTAAGCATTCTTCTCTGGAGAAAACGGCCTCCCCAGTTGCTTCCGAGGAAGGCTGGAGAGAGACAGGGGTGTCCAATAGGAAAAGCAGTGGTGGTCCTGCTTGGAAGGGGAAAATGGCCAATGAATTTCAGAGGGGCTGGAAGAAAATGTGGCATCTAATGAAGGCAAAGCATCCAGGCATGGATGAACCGGAGATTATGATGAGGCAGAGGATTAGGATGATGATGATGATGGCAAGTTTGTGGACATGGCTTCTTTTAATTTTGCCTAGCTCCTAGTAATTTTGGGGTGCTCTGTAAACAGCAAGGAATACTACTGCTATTAAGAGAGTAATGATAGCGCTTCATGCATACACTACCTCATGACATTCTTACCACAGCCTTCAAAGGTTGCATTACATTTCCACAGCGGAGGGAGGGCAGTTCCTTCAGGGTTGCCCAGTGAGTTGATGACCGAGGAGCTGTCTGCACAGAACAACCCCTGGCTTCGACCTCACCGTCTTTGTCACTGGAGAGAAATTGTCCACGTTTTATATGGACAGTATTTTACTAAGCTAAATTTAGTGTATTTAGCTAAATATACTCGTGTGTATTCACATGAATGCTTGCGCTACTGAGCATCTTAAAGACAGAAGACGGTGGCTGGTAACTAAAAAAGCCCGGTCCGAAACTGTGTGTCATTCTACATAATTATTTATGTATTTTATTTCTGTCTCTGGAAGGGGGCCAGTCGCTCATGCTGGGACTTGTCTTCTTGCAGCAATGCAGAAACAGGCTCTCTCCTACCTTTTGAAATCCTCTCTTCTCCCTTGCAAAGGAAGCGGTACCAACAATTCTGTGCTCCCAGCACCTGCTTCAGCCATTTCTCTCTGGCGTTTCCCAAGCGTCGAATGCCGTTTCTCGGATTTCAGCTGTTCTGATATTTATTTCTATGTATTTGAAGCTTATTTCTCTGCAAACTGTTTTGATATCTTGGATCCTAAGTAGCCTGTTGATGCTCTGAAGAAGAAGCATAGCAATAGAACCAGCCTGCAAGTAAGGAATAACGTTCCTGGCAAAGATTTTGGCAAGCTCAGTCTTCATTTCATTTTTTTTAAAGCAGGTTTCTGGACCTTGTGGCCCTGGAAGGGTTTGGAAGCATTTGCCAGAAGTGGACCGATGTTCCTCAGACATCACAGGCACTAGGGAAAAAAACATAATCGTGTGAAATGCAAACATTCCTATGCTGTTCCCGATGGCTCATATTTGCAGAACGCTGCTTTCCCTGGCTCATGGCACCCAGTGGGACTCATCTCTGAAGCCAAGGGTTGGGATTGTGCAGTTTAACCTCACACTATTATGGGCACTGCTCATTTCATTTCATTTCATTTTTATAGTGTCCCATAGCCAAAGCTCTCTGGGCAGTTTGGGAATATGGGGACATTTTAAAGGCGTTCCTTCTGTAGGCAAAAAACAAAAGCAAAACTATGTACAGTGAGACAAAGAGGAGCAGAACCTGCTTGGAAGAGCGAAACAGTGTAAATAGTACTGCGATGGTGTCAAGAAAGGATTACTTTTGCACCATTTTCCAGGAAAGGATCAGTGGGAAATTTGATTTAAACCAGTGACATAAACAGACTTTTAAAATTTCTGTTTTAAATTTTACTTTGGATAAGGGATCAACATCACCTTGATTTAAAGCAGCCACCCTTGAACAGCGGTTTTGGGGTTGCGAAAACTGGGTCTCACACTCCAGCAGTGGGGGCACCTGTGCAAGAAGTGTATCTTTTAAAATATAGAATCAATAACGTTCCGGTTTTATTTTTCAGTGTTTCAGACCTAGGAACGTGACTCGCAGCGTTTCTCGGAAGCTTTTAGAAAGTGAATTGCTGTGTTTCTCTCCCTGCAGAGATGGGGAACTTGTAGCCCGCCGTCAGATCCCCCCGCCGCTGCTCCGTTTGCAGCGCCCTCACATGATCACATGACTCTTGATATGGACGCGGTACTGTCGGACTTCGTTCGATCTACGGGGGCAGAACCGGGTCTGGCAAGAGACTTGCTGGAAGGTAAGCGGAACGGTCGGGGACCTCTTTAAACTTCTTTCTCCAGGCGTCCTCCATGCAAGCGTTCTCACGTGCCTGTCAATTTGGGAGAAGGAAGTCTGCATTGCACTTCCCACCAGGACAAAAATCTCTGCGCATCGCTTGGTGCATCGCTTTGTGTTCAGAATCGCACACTGTGTTGCTAACTGCCACCAGTGTCAAGGTTTGCAACAGGAACAATTCGTGCAGCATCCCAACTTGCTGGGAAGAAACAGGGCAGCTGTAATGCTGGTGAATTTTTTTTTTTAAAGGACTGAAGGACAGAGCAGTATAATTATGTATGGTGCTTGATTCAGAGCAAGTTTGTGGCTTGGATGGGCTGCTATATCAGCCTGGTATGGGTTCAAAGGTGAAATAAAAAGTAATAGTCACAATAAATCAGCTACCTTGGGTTAATTGACGGCGTGATCCTCTGGGACAGGATGTGATTGGAAGCGGGGTTGGTTTCTTCGGACTAAGCCCCTTCCACATCTCATCCGCCTCTAGCATGACCCTGTTGCTTGCCTCTTCTTGCTCCGGGCCATGCATTTTAACCTGTAGCAAACTGTTAGTAATGATAAGCTACAGTGTTTACACAGCCCTAATGCAGTCTGGAATAATTCAGAGCTATCGGTGAAAACATAGATAAGCGCAGATTTGGTGATGGCATCATCCCTTGGGTTTTGTGAAGGGAAATTGCATTCTAGCAAACTTATTGAAAATAAATTGTGGCATTGCAGCACTTAAAAAAATAAATGGCAAAAGGGCGCATTTGTCTGAACCAGTGATTGAAATGCTTGTTCTTTTTTGTGCTAAGCCATCTGTACCCAAACAGTCCTGCCACCTGCTACATAGAATTGCTATTATCCACCTCCAGTTTGATATATTGCTTATTTGAAGTAGGTACAGTTTGTCATGCGCTTACATAAATCACAAGTGAGCAGAGATGAGTTTATTCAGGTGTACTGGCCCAGGATTTGTTAAACCGAATTAGTTACTGCTTGCATCTTCTGCAGTGAGCACTGTGAATACACAGCCCTTGTATTCCACCCATCTGAATTGGGACCCAGCATAGGAGTTTCAGCTCTTAGCTCTTTGGATGATAGAGTATTATTTTCTGTTTTTGAGAAACATATGTTAAAACATGGCTGTAATTTAAGAAATGGACGTTTTAACCTGCCAGAAGTTGACCTGAGCGATGTTTTGGGATCGTGTCATTGCTTTTTAACCTGACAGGTGACTAACCATTTTCTGTTGTGATATTCCTCAGTGCAGCATTCACTTTTCCACAGGTCCTGCTTCCATTCCTCCCTTTCTTACCTGGACAAACCCTCCTAAATTCTTCTATCTATTGTTGGTTGTCTGTTACACCTCTCTTCTTCTGCTTCTTCTCTTTTTAAAAGAAAAATACCTCTAACTCAGTATCAATACATAAGCTGCCTTGCTGTGGGTAGCTCTCAAATCATTTTGTTATGCTTTCAAAGTACTGCAACACTCAAACCGAATTGGAAAGGTTCTCTATGCTGTGTAAAAATTCTTCCTTGGATGTCAAAATTTCTCTGCCATGGCTTATTCCAAAGTGCCAACCTAGGTCTTCCTTTTTCAGCGGCATGACATCCCTGCTTTCTACAGATTGACATAGCCCAACCTTCCTCAACCTGATGCTCTGATGCTCCTTTCATCACAGAAATTATATATACCCCGTTTTCCCGAAAATAAGACCTAACCAGAAAATAAGCCCTAGCGTGATTTTTCAGGATGCTTGCACTTATGGAATGCGCTCCCCAGAGAGGTCTGCCTGGCGCCGTCGTTATTTGCTTTTTGGTGCCAGGAGAAGACCTTTTTTATTTAAAACTTATTTTAATTGTTATTTTATTATGTATTTATAGGTTTTAAATTTTTAAGCCGAGATGTTACTGGGTTTTTTAAATTTTTAATTGTATTAATTTGTTATTTATTTTTTTAATTATGTTGTGAGCCGCCCGAGGCTTTGTTGTGATGGGGGCGGCATAGAAATGTTATAAATAAATAAATAAATAAAAATAAATGTAAGCCCTACCCCAAAAATAAGCCCCAGTTAAGATCATCAGCCAGATGAATGCATTTAGTACGTCCGTTGCAACACAGTTTGGGGTTTGGAGAGTTACGACAATGTTCCAGAAGAAGACGACAGGACTGTATTGAATAAGTGTAGATTTTTGTACATGCATAAATGAATAAATGAAGATGGTTGTACATGAAAAAATAAGACATCATCTGAAAATAAGCCCTAGTGCATCTTTTGGAGCAAAAATTAATATAAGACCCAGTCTTATTTTCGGGGAAATATGGTAGAGATTGGCAGGCGGGCAGACAGACAGACTGTATTCTAGCCTGGGAACTGTAGGGTAGGCCAAAATATCCTGCATGCACGAGCCCATTTACATTCTGGAACACTCTTGCCATCAACCGTATATTTATTTATAAATTAAAAAACCTTCCCTCTTTAGTTTGATATTATTCTACCACAATAGGGAGGTGGGAGGGAACATGGCATCCTGACCTCAGTCCTTCGTTAAAGAAGCAGTTATTATCCATCTGTGAGCAGTATTTTATGTGGGGTTCAAACTCGTGTGTTCCTTCTATTTTAAAGAAATACGGTCATTTCTGAATCATGTTAAATCTAAGTTCTGTCTAAAGGGGGCCAGTGTACAGCCCACCCCCTTTCTTTCCAGGCTTCTATTATTTTACCCCCGCAAGGCTATGTCACAACAGATTGCTCTTGTTTGTGCCGAGGAGGGCTAGCTCCGCAGCCGTTTCCGAAAGGGTAGACATGGTGCTTCACTGTGGATTGGGGGTGGAAGGGGGGGGGAGATGGAGTGGGTGGTGCTATCCAGGGTTAAGATGGTATCAGTCCAAATTAAAGCAGCATTTCAATAATGGTGGCTGGAAAAAGCAACTTAATTGCTTGACGTCAGGCAGCTTTTCAGAGAGCGCCTTTTAAAATAAATGTCAGCATCTGAGCAGGTCTTGCAAACTGCCTCATTGTCTGTATGCTTAGGAACATGTGCTGAGGGAATCTGACAATTTCTGACTGTCCTGTGAAGGATTGTTAAGTGCTTTCATCCTTCTGGTGTATATTCTGCCCTGGTTCAATAGAAGTAAATCAGAAGCTTTCTGCTTTGATGAAAACTAATAATCACCATCTGCTTTGAGAGCCAAGCATTACTCATATGTCATTTTTCTGAATATCTTTTCTGGCAGAGGTGGACTGCCTATCTTTGCGTCAGCGCGCTGTTTTACCAAGTGTCAACACTACTAGAGTTCTTTGCTCAGGATTAATACAGATTTTGCTCTGATTAAAAACAAGCCATAATGTTGCTGTTGCATGCATGTAAGCAGAAAAAAGGGGGAGTTATGAACACGCTTTTCTGCTATCAAATAAGCTCCAAGGTAGCTGATGATTCCAATTCCAATTAAATTCCAATTAAAAAGCTCCTATCACATCGTATGCAAAACCTTTAAAATGACACACTTTTCTGTTATTTTGTATTTCAGGCCGTAACAAAAACATTTCACTAAAATTACATCTCCAGAATACTTTCTCAAATTTACACATGCTTATTAACCCAACGACAACCTCTGTTATATGAAGGTTCTTCAAAAAGTTTCCGCACTTTTAAAAGCTCTATTTATTAAGAATTTCAAAAACCAGTTCCATCACTTTTCTCACCTTCCCTTGCAATGCATTTTCCCCAGCGTCGTACCAACTTTTTAATGCCATCAGCAAAAAATATATAAAATATATTTATATAACATAAAAGTGTGGAAACTTTTTAAAGATTTTAATGGAGCATTTTAGAACCTTTCTTGTTTGGGTTTGTAATAGTGATAAGACTACATTTCCCATGTGTGAGTTCTAATCTCTCGTGTCTCTGTGAACTCTGATAAACAATGGAAGTAAATGCTTAAAAGAGTCAACAGGAAATGTGGTAGGAAGTGAGTAATTTGCTGATATATGTAAGAGAGCTTTTGGTTAAACCTACCTTGTGTTTTTTGATGGCAGTATCATAATGAGGATGCCTATAAGACCCTGGAAGACTAGGAGAGAAATAATTGGGCGTTTTAATGGTGGAGTGGATGAGGTGCTCCTTCCAAAATGTTTCCATGTAGAGAGAATTTTCTGCTGGTGCCATCAGAGAAAAATACACACACGTCAAGGAGCTCCCGGCAGCTTCCCATGTTTCCAGCTACATCAAAGTCATCCAGACCAGATGATGGCACCACACAGAGCGCATGTGTGCGCCAGGCAGTCCTTCTCACTGCTTAGCAGTGCCGGCTGTGACGCTCAGCACATGGCTCCAGCACATGGCTCAGCTGACAAGCCTACCAGTAAAACATGCATGTCCAAAATAGGCGTTTGTGGGCACTGCCCCTCGCGCAAGCCGTGTTAAATTGGGCGGCCTGGTGCATGCGTTCCAACATCAGATGCACCGGACCTGCACCGCCCGTGCCAAATAGCAAACCCCACTTGAATTAAAGCGACATTGTGTCCCTATTCTGGAAAGCTGCCCTCCATTAATTTCCACAGAAGACAAGCACGGATACCAATGTTGTTGTTGTTGTTGTTGTTGTTGTTGTTATTATAACATTTCTATGCCGCCCCTTGCTGAAGCCTCGGGGCGGCTTACAACACAATAAAATACATTGAAATACAGTAGAACAGAATAAATTACCACTAAATACAAAAAAATACAGTGAGATACAAACATAATAATATAAAATTAAAATTAACAGTATAAAATAAGTAAATAAAGAATATAGGAGGAGAAAAGAGAAGGAAGAGGAAGTTGCCCTGGCCAGATCATATATTTTAACAATTAAAATTATCAGAAGACTTTCTTTACGGCAGTATGTCCAGAATATCCATCCATTTCCAAAGCCATCTTAATAGGAGCTGCAAAACATACGTTTAGCATTTGGAATGCAGTCGGCCTTATTTGAAATAGTTCTTTTTTCTTATGCCATCAACATTAATAGCAAGTATTTAATCCAAGTTGAAGAAAATGCACATTATGGCTGTAACCCTGTACTTGCTTACCTTGAAATAAGCCTCGCTGAATGAACAGGGACTCGCCTCTGAGCAGAAATGTACAAGATTGCACTGCACATTAAGCCAAATACATCATTTTACGCAAAAATTATTTTCAGGATTAAATTGTTACTGCTTCTGCTAACAGACGCCATATCATTTCCCATGTCTGCACCTGCCCACACAGCTCCCTCCTCGGTACTTATTTATTTATTTATTTATTTATTAAAACATTTTTATGCCGCCCCATTCGCCGAAGCCTCGGGGCGGCTTACAACAATAAGTTAAAAAATAATTATAACATCAAATTAAAAAAAAAATATAAACATTAAGTTAAAAATACAAATACCAATATAAAATAAGCCACCCTGGCCACTTGCCTAGGCCCACATGTTTTATTTGCTGCAGTTAGTTTAATGTTCTTTTATTCCGCTGCCGTTATTTTATGGGATTGTTTTGTCTCTTCCCTTGAGAGTTGTCATGTTGCTTTTACCAGTTTCAGTTCAATATTTTACATTCCTTTATTTATTATTTGTTTTATTTATTACATTTCTCTACTGGCAAAGATTTGAAGCTCACGAGAGTTTAAAACCAGAACTTTCGGAGAGATAGGAGTTATATGTAAAAGAACAACAAAATAGTAAATTAATAAGTAACTGTGAAGTTTGTCACAGAGACAGGGAATTATCAAGTGCAGCTTCATACACCACGGATACCACATAGAGGGGAAAGCGTGTGGATAATTTAATCTGTCTTCCCAGAATAAAAAGACCCAACTCTCAAGAGTTATGGAAAGTTCTCATGGCATTTGTATCTGGCTTCTTCTCCCTCCTTTCTTCTGATCAAGCTTCTAGTGTTTAAGCTTTGCTCACTTAGAAATACTCTTTAGTTGAATTAGGGGGAAAGCCTTTAGATGGTTTTGCCTTGCTTGTTGTGTACCTTGCGAAAACAACCACTTTTACTTCTCTCCCCTCTCTTCCGTCACTCGATAATAGATACTTAGCCGCAGCAGGTTCAGCTTTTGCTAATTAAAGTGCAGCGTGCCTTGGAGACGCGTTCTGCCCTCACAATAGAAAGCATTGTGTAGATTTGGTCAAAATATTTTGGAAAAGAGAAGTCCAATTTACATGTGAACAATTACGAGGGATGATGCCATAATGTATACTTTACTGGCGTCTTTTCACTGTTGGTGCACTGAAGAAAGAGAAGGGGCTGGCGTGTGTGTGTTTTCCCCAGCACACAAATTAAGCTGCTTTCACTAGAATAGGACAAGAGAGACGGTACTTGGGTCGCCAGATGGTGCTGAGGCAAGTCTAGGATGGGTCGGAAAGCCAGCGCTGGCCTCAGAAATGCAGCCCAAGCTTGGAGCTTGGGCTTTTAGCCCCAGAGCCCTGTCCCCCTGCTCTCACATCTCTGCCCACTGAGAGCGAGTTGGCGAGGCAGGCTCTCAACTTCTCTTTGTGTGCGTTTTTGAGAAAGCTTCAGCCACTGGGCAGTAGAGAAATAAAATGCATCGCCATCACTGTCTAGCTGGTTTTGTGGGGGGTTCTACAAGCAACGGGGGGCCAAGAGGCCTCCGTATTTCTTCCTGCCTTGCCAGCTAAGATAACAGTGGGGGATCGTGGCCTCAACCGAGATGCTCCACGGTTGGCAATCGCGAAGCAGGCACTGATGCGGCTCTCCGAAAAGGGCTTTCTGGAACAGGCATTTGCATGCTTTGCCAGGATAGTCTTTCTGAAAAGAACAGATGCGGGTTGGTCTGCCATAAGCAGGTGTATTGAGGTGACATGACGTATTTTATTCTGGGTTAGTTCATCTAGATCACCTGTCCTCCGTTGCTTCGTACCCAGAAAGACCAGTTATCTGCACACCTGCACACCCAGAAGCAGGTGTGTGGAAGTCGTTATGCTCTTCTTTGTGTGTTTGCAGGAAAAAACTGGGATTTGATGGCTGCTCTGAGTGATTATGAGCAGCTTCGGCAGGTTCACACAGCTAACCTGCCCCAGGTGTTCAACGAAGGAAAATATCCCAGGCAGCAACAGGAGAGAGAGACTTCCCAACCGATGAACAAGAGTGAGCGGTCTTCTCTTCAGAGGCAGGATGACGTTTCTCAAGGTAAGGACTTTGGGCTCTGGTGTTATTTATTTATTCATTATATTTATTCAATTTCCAGGCAGCTTACATTCTATTAAAATCCATAAACAACATGAAAACAAGATAATATACTACATGGCAGTGTACAATGAAAATGACTGATAACAGTAAAATTATGAGTAAGCTATCAAAATTAAATAAAGCCAAAATAAAAAAATAGAAATAATAAAACAAAAAATAGAATCTATATATCTCCCCAAAAATAACACAAGCCATTAAAATTTAGTGTATATCAATATCTAGCATTTTAAAACATTGCAGCAACCTATTATAACATAAAAATTAAAGCATCGTTGAAAATCAAGAATTCACCAATTTAAAATAACTATGGAACAAGGATGTCTTTGGCTGGTGACTAAAGGCCAAAAGAGTGGGCCCCAGCTGGACCCCCAGTGGAATCAAGTTCCAAAATTGAGGTGATGGAGAACCAGATGTGCTTTTGTGAGCAGCCCAAGCTCTCAGATGTGGATCAAAAATGTTGCCATTTCCGTTTTTTTGCCTCCGTTTATTTGCTTTAGTATTGTAAACCTATTTATTTGGTCAGTTCGATGGTGTGGTGGACCATATCACTTCCTTCTCCCTCTTTGCTTTGTACTGTAAACTGAATTATGTGGGCTACCCAGTTTTGGGAGGGGCGTGTTGATTTCTGGGCCCTCCGGTCAGGAATGGGGCTGAGGTCGGTTATTCTCTTAGAGTTTCTTGCAACCTCCGTATCTGTAGATTCTGTATTAGGAATCGGCATGTTTGGCACGCAAGCAGGATTTGTGTAGATATCTGTTGTTAAAGAAGACTCTCTTTAGCCACAATCGCCAAACATCCCCAGTCATGCACAAAGCAAGCATAGCTGAAACTGCTGTAACTATTATGTAAGGCCAATTATTACACAAGACCTTTATAAATTACTAATCTGATTTACACGAGTGTGGCACCCTTGGATGACTTTTTGCAAAATAACATCGCATTTGACTGTGGTGGTACTTAATAAAATATAATACAGTGTTTTAAAGTAGCTGTTAAGATTTGGGTGGGGGGGGAAGAAAAAGAGGAAAGAAGGGGAGCAGAGATGCAAGAAGCCACCAGCTGTGGATAGTCTAAAAGCTTCAGGTGCTTTTGTAAAGATAAGAAAGAGAAGGGTACAAAGAGAGATCTGTCTAGAGAAAGCGAGCGTGACATTGTGGTGCCTAAGCCACCAATGGCTGGTCACCTGCCACCTTAAGAGGCCCTCAAATGGACAGGTGGGATATGAACTCAGTTCAGCTCTTCTGATCTTGTAGACTGCTGCTATTGGCTACTAAGAGGGAGTTTGCAGAAACAGATTTGCATCAGATCAAATGGTACTGGACTGGACTGATGTGATATGCTTTCAGATGGCCCCTTGAGCAAAGATCCGTTGAGCAGGCTCTGAGCATTTCACTAGAAAGAAATAACAAATTGCTCCACATCAGGATGTGTTTCCTGAAAGCCAAGTTGTATAAATGCCTTTCTAATTTAGTATCAAGCTGCCCCCTTCCCAAAACCTAACACCTGTCTTTAGATTTAAGTACTTTACCTGACTCAGTTACTTGGAAACAATGCCTTGGTCTGTTGGATGATTCGCTGTGCTGCCACAGATGTATTTTATTCGAACTGATTAGAAAGTTGGGGCGTGAACACTGAATAATTAATGTGGATGTTTCATGACCTGCTGGTGCCCATTTCCTGAAGAATAACGTAAGCGCTGCTGCAGCCTGGCCATTCGGGGGCCCAGTTCTTTTACCATCTTTTTTAAAAATAGGAACCTTACAGCATTCCAAGATGGGGCTGCTGGAGCAAGCCCCAGCCCTCGACTCGAGAATGGGAGCTCCGTGCAAGTACTGGGCCCCCCTGCTTAGTGAAAGGTGGACAAGTCCAAAAGAAGCAAGAGAAATAGACACACCTTGACTGACTGGCACGACAGATAACAAATTGCCGAGTTTGCATATGCAGAACTCAGCTCCGTCTTTGAAGGTTTCGCACAGATCTCATTTTGTCTCAGTTTAACAGACCCAAAGCTTTGCCTGTTTATTTCCCTCATTCAGCTGACAAGGACCAAGTTGGGAAGAGTTTACGTGATCTGCCCTGTGTTCTGTGAGCAGACTGGACACGCAGCCCCTTCCTTGTAACATACGGTGGAAGGTGCCCACGTCGTCATGCGGTCCTGCATTCTTCCTCCCTTTCTTTATATGAGGTTCTTCAAAAAGCTTCCACACTTTTAAAACTCTGTTTATTAAGAATTTCAAAACCAAGTTCCCCCACTTTTCTACACAGCCCCCTTCCTTTGTGACCCATTTTTCCCAGCGTCATGGCAACTTTTTAATGCCACGAGCAAAAAATATACAGAATATATTTATAAAATATAAAAGTGCGGAAACTTTTTGAAGAACCCTCGTACTAGAATTTATACTGCTATGTATTCCGGACCAGTAGATTCCACAGTATTGTGGAATATCTTGCATGCTCCCAGGGAGTGATAATTTTTCATTAATAATCAAAGGCCAGAGGTCTCCTCTTGCCTTGGGAGCAAGAACGTAGAACAGATGGGAGAAGAGATCATTCTGTTGAGGACATTCTCTAAGGCTGCAATTCTAACCGCAGGTAGTAAGGGTCATATCCCATAGAACCCATGGGATTTTGGCCTGCAGAAGCATATTCAGGATTGCACCGCTGGCCTAATTTTGCCATCTTTATCTGTGCAGAGAAGAGGCTCTCCAGAGGGATTTCCCACGCCAGCTCCGCGATAGTCTCCCTCGCGCGGTCCCATGTGGCCAACGAGTGCAACAGTGAAAATTTCCCCCTGGAAATGCCCATCTACACCTTCCAGCTCCCCGATTTGAGCGTCTACAGCGAAGACTTCAGGAGCTTCATTGAGCGGGACTTGATTGAACAGGCCACCATGATCGCTTTGGAACAAGCTGGTGAGTGGATGCTGACCGCTCCAGGCTGCTCTGCCCTTCTCCCTGCACAGCAATCTTTCAAACCAAGCTTATCCATGGAACGAATGGCTTGCCTCAAGTAAATACGGGAGTTTGGAGCAGGAGATGCATTGGCCATCAAAAAAGTATTACTATCGTTCGGCAGATCTGTTTGTAAACATGTGACACCGCTTATTTCCCACCCAGTCCAAAGGCCCACTTCAGAAATTAGCAATCCGTTTTCTTGAGCTAACACCCAGTGATGAGCTTTGCATAGCCTCACTCCTTTGAAACTTTCAATGCATCGTCCCTTAGATACGTTTTTTCTTGCTTCCAAGAGCTTATGGCCAGTTGAAATCAGTTATAACTAAGTTCTCCCTTAGTCTAATTAAGCATGCTGGCTTGACCATGGTTGCCTTTACCACCTCAGTCAGCCCAAAGAACTGCTTTTGCCGCCTCGAAGCCTATGCTCCTTTTGACCCGTTCTGCATCAGTTTTGACCCCCTCTTTCCTTAGGACCCTGCTTGCTCAGGAGAACTGCCTGCCCCTGCCAGCCGTTGCATGTTTGAAAAAATGGTCAGGGACAGCTTGGTCTGCCATAAAATTTAACTACGAAGCAACTTGCCACACTGTTTGGTAAAACTACTAAATTATCCCTTGATTATTTTACCGCTGTGCCATTTCTTGTTTTAAAATACTGTTGTTTTCAGTGCATACTCTGAGCACCATTAGGTTAAACTTTAAGTTAAACTTAAGTTAAAATACTTAAACCTTAGGTTAAACTTAGCTTAAATGACCTAAACTACTTAAAGGTGCACCTTTTTCAATGAAACCAAGTGAGATGTTGCTCTAATACTGCTGGTGTATTTGCGTGCCAGGAATGTATAATAGGACTAAGTACCTGGCTGGTGTTCGGAAGCTGCTGCGGACAATGGCTCCAGCCATGTACCCAAAGGAAAGGCAGTTGCCCCGTCCATCAAAATTGCAATCACGCTGCAGCTGCCTCAGTCCCACCCAGACCTGTCTTGAATTCCTGCCCACCTTTGCTCTCCTGACATGTCTCCCTAGACTCTAGCCCCTTCTCGTTCTCCTGGTTCACAGGAAGTCCTTGACCTGTGAAATGGACAGCAGAAAGGGCAGCCAAGTGGTCTTTCCTGGCTACCTAGTTAGGTGTGGCTGAGTCGCTGTCTAAAGTCCAGTCAGGTGAACGTGCCTGCAGCTTAAGGGCAGAGCAAGAGACTTCATTATGAAGCTGTTGGGTGTCGTTGATAATGTCGGATTCCACGAGTATCAGTGCTTAGTAGTTTCTGGCATGTTCGTCTCCTTTGGATTGAGAGCTATTGGCAAGAAGAGAAGCATTGCTATTTATAATTTTGAGACTGGTTTTGCTCTGTCATAAAAGGAATAGTTCTTGATAGAATCTTTCTGAAAAATGATTTAACTGAAGAGAAATGCCCTCACTATCTATTCTGAAATGTAATAGGCTACTGCATGTTGGGTTGTTTTGCTTGGCCGTTACCTTCTTCACTATGCAACTCTTATAAAAAAGTACAGATACTGTATAGATTTTATAAGTCTTCTTTAAGCAGCACCTTTGCTTTAGCATCTGCATTATTGCCAAAATACGCTGCATGGAGCAGGTGATAGGCCGTTGTTTCACAGAGTCCATGAGAAAGGAATTGCTAAAAATGAGAGCATGTTATTTCCAATTTTATCTCTCCCAGAGGCATTCCAGCACACTTTAAATTATGCTTCCCAAGCGCATGCCTAATTTAGATTTAATACGACTGGTTAGGGATGTGAAATGGGTACCAGGTGCTGCTTACTGCATCTTTGTGTAGATTACAAAGCGTTTTTAATAAACCAAACTATTATAGTCGATCAGTGGGACTCGGTCTGTTTTTGTTGGCATGTTTTGTATGCCGGTGAACTACTTAAGGGAGCTAATCCTGAATTAAAACTATATGATGGTAAAGTGGATTAGATATGGCCAAGAGTCAAACTTGCTAGCAAACCCAGATTTTAGTCCGAGGTCTCAGTAAGGGTGCCTTCGAACAGAGAGGTACAGGTATGAAACGGTGAGCGAATCCATCGTGAAACTGAGGGGACTGTTCAGAGCAAAGTGTGGCTTAAATGAAGAGAACCTGACTAGGGAGGAACAATAAACCAGGATTGGTCAGGGCGCTCGTTAAAAGCCAGAAGATCAGTGCATTAAAAGACTGGCAGAGAGGAAAAAGATCCAGAAATGACCAGAGTCAAAAGCTGATTGTGCGGATGAACCTGGGATTCAGACTGAAAAGGAGACCAGAGGGCTGGTATAAAAGGAGTTGGCGAGTTGTGCTGAGCGTGTGTTCTAGGACTGAGCCCCACTTTGAAACAAGCGTCTTTGTCATGTGTGTATCCATTCTGCAGTCATTAGTGCTACCAAATGTGAGGAAATGGCAATAGCGGGCACTTTTTCCGCGTAAAAGAAGAACGATCTCTAGTTGGATGGGCAAAGGTAGGCTGGTGAAATGGACTGGATGAACTGAAGTCAGGGGGAGGTCAGCTGGCGGTAAAATTATATAGAGGTTAGGCTTTGCAGGTAGAGAGATTCTGTGCCATGCAAATCTGGGAAGTCGTTTGTTCAGGATGGCTGAATCAGGCTATTTCTAGTCCAAGTTCGTCTCACAGGTATTTAATTATAATCCACCTGCCCGATTTCCATGCCAGTCTGCCATTCTAAAAATGCCTGGAAAATCAGCGTTTATTTTCACGTGCCATTTCCTAATATATGCAGCTGCAGTGACACAGACATTTCCTGCATCCAACGTTTGAGCTAAGAAATGCGTTACAAAAACTAGAGAATTTCATAGTCTGAAGAGTAATCGTGTTCCAATCTGGAAAGGGCAAATTAGGGTAGTTTGTCTAGAAATGTGGACAAAACAAAGTTCTCCCCACACGGTTTGTCAGCCAGGTGAAGCATTACCTGGCGTTACACTAATCAGGGTACAGGTTACTATACCAGTCAATGTGTCTAAGGTAAGAAAGCAGGGAATAAGCTACTCTTACCAGTACAGGCACATAGCCAGCATGAACCCAGATGCAAGAACCTGACACTTGCTTATTTTTCTTTGCATAACATAGTGTCTAAATATTTTGGTCAGCACCATCATGGCTGAACGATACAAACAATCTTGCTTCGCTTGTTTTCATATTTACTCCTGTGCCATCTCTGCATAGCATCTGAGGCTAGCGTGCTGCAACTCAGGGTAATCCCCGCACGTGTTAGTTTATTTTTCATTGTGACTTGCCCACAAGTTTCTCTTCTCCCAAGTGTGCGCTTTAATGGCTCGTATCACAAAAAGATTTACTGGGGAGAAATGCAGTTCCAGAAAGATCCAGGGTCCTCCGCTGAGTGCTGACCCTTATGCTCAATTTTCCACGGAGAGCGGTCCATTTCCAACCAAAGCCAATCTCTACTAAGTCCCACCAATTTGAGTGGAAAAGATTTAACTCTTCCTCCTGGTGCATAATGTGGGCTGCATTGTGTTGTTCTCTGTAAAACGATGCTTCCTATTGCAGGCCGTCTTAACTGGTGGTCCACCGTGTGTACAAGCTGCAAACGGCTCCTTCCGTTGGCAACAACCGGAGATGGAAACTGCCTGCTACACGCTGCCTCTCTGGGTAGGTGTTATCTTCAGATAACAGAAATCCTTTCCGAAAACCAAGCATAACCACATGTTTTATTTTTAAAATTTACATCCCCACTTCTTATAAATGAAGGGGACTCACATGGACAATACATTGGCATTTATTTATTGATTAGATTTCTAACCCACCCCATTTGCCGTACAGAAAGGAAAAGACCGGATGGTACATAAACAGGCTGTTACGGAGGTTCTTCATGTCCATGATCTCTGATGATGCTCAGGGCCAGGGCCTGAAGCATCCGGGTACAATTTCTGGTCCTGTGTAAAATTTTTTACTAACAGTTTCGTCTTTTCTCTGTTTATTTTCATCCCAGTAACCTCGCCATATTCTTCAATCCTTTGTAGAAGTTTAGGCATTGTTACAAAGGGTTCCTCCATTATGAAAACTAGATCATCTGCAAATGCTTGCAATTTATAGCTTCATCTCTGATTCTAGTACCTTTAATGTCCATATCATCCCTGATATTTCTGTTTAACACTTCTAAGATCAGTATAAACAACAGAGGTGATAACGGGCATCCTTGTCTTGTACCCTTTTGTATATCTATAATATTTGTAAATTCTCCATTGATTATAATCCTAGCCGACTGCTTTTGATAGATGCTTGATATCGCATTAATAAACTTTTCACCAAACTCCATTTGAGCCAGTTACTGGTTCATAAACTGCCAAGCATTCGGGTACAATTCTGAGGCCATCCACGGACCGGCCAAACAGCTTTCAGGAACTCGCAGGCTGCGTTCCCAGGTCGCAACAAGCCACGAGGATGCTTGCTGCATCCACCGTTCTCTTTCCTGCAGTGCCTGGCAGGCAGTGGAGTCCCATGGGGGGGTAACTGCCCCACCCACCGGCTTCTCACCCCCACTGCTTGCTCATTTTTCTCTGGCATACAGAGGGGCTGGGGAACGGGAGAGAGACATTGCCAGCAACTAGGCAAGACTGCCGAGCAGCTTCTCAGCTCCCCCTTTTACGTGCATTTGGCCGGGGGAGGACTCAGCACTGGGCGCTGCTCCTTTCCTGCACAGAGCGACTGAGCACCCACATCTGTCCCAGAGGAGATCAGGGCCATATTGCCTGTGAGAGCTGCTCAAAATGGCGACCGCCACTGGTGCCTTTTGACTAGCGATGGCCCACTCTTGGCAGGCTGCTCTTCGGCCTTGGCGCTTTCTGGGCTCAGACAAAGTAACAAGCCATTGCGGTGCCAGGAAATCACAGAACAGGCCACCCTTTATGTCTGCGGTCTCTAAAAACCAAGCACCCCATTCTGAAACACCACGGCTGGGTTCAGATGACTCAACAGACCAATCATGGTGAAAAACCACCATGACTTGTCAGGTTGGGCGAAGCCCCCATCATCTCTTCAGTTCTCTGCCTCGCATTGTTTTTGTAAACTTGAGTGCAATAAGGAAATCCTGCCCATTTTTTAGCTGTCAAGAACGAGGGCTGAATTGAACTCAAGAGCCGGCTGGTGCCGGAGGTCAGGCTAGATGGCCCAGGAGACCCCTTCTGACTCACTCTGTTTCTATGTTTGTTTATGAAGTATTCCAGAAGACGTTAATCCCTCTCTTGTGGAGCCAGCCAGCCCATTGTAACTTTATTTCTGAAAAACTCAGAAGAGCTATTAGTGCTCATTAGTAACTCAAGGCCTGCGTCCAAATATCTAAGGCTGAAAGCAAGAGCCTCGGTCCTTCTAGCAAAGTGGAGTCAAAAGACTGTGTGCCAGACAGCTCAAAACTTGAGTTACTTCTCAAGAAGGCCTCTGAGCCTGAAGCCGCATTGCCATCATTCACGTCCTTAATGTTTGCTGCTATTTGAAGAACGTAAAAGTAGCAAAAGGGAATTAAAGAATGGAAATTATTTTAGCATGTTCAGCTTTGTTATTCTTCATGTGCTCTTGCGCTGTTGCAGTGTTGTTGTCTTAAACTGTAATACTTGTTCTGTTTTTTCTAGGAATGTGGGGGTTTCATGACAGGGACCTTGTATTACGAAAGGCTCTCTACACAATGATGAGAAGTGGCGCTGAGAGGGAAGCCCTGAAGAGAAGGTGGAGGTGGCAGCAGACACAGCAAAATAAAGAGGTCTGTAGGATGCACGGAGGCGAGGGCTTCCTGGGGATTAATTCTGTCTCTCTGTATGAGCTTCTTAGGCAGCTCTTCCTAGGGTCTCTGCTTGTGTCTGGAGCATGTGGAACAATTGTGAAGCATCTTGTCCTTCAGTTTGTGCAGGATACTTTTCCCATGCCCCTGGGTGCCTCCAAAAGTTTCCAGAGTGTTTTGGTGACAAAATTTCACCTGCAAACTCATCCAGTCCTGGTGCCTCACGTAACACCAAAGCAGAAAACTTAGAACGCTCAACTTTGGGTGTTAGAAAAGTTGCTTTTCCTCCTCTACTCCATTATTCTTTATGGCTCCAGTTTTCTGGAGGAAACATTTTGGAGAGTGTTTGAACTTGGATATCTTCTTCTCAAGCCCAAGAAAACTTGAAAGTGCTGGTGAAGAGCTTGAAGAGTTTTTATGCAGGGATTCCTTCTTCCCCTGTTTAGTGAGTTCCTAAGCTTACCTTCCAGAAGAAGGTTCATAAGCAAAGCCCAAGAAGATTGTATATATGATCCAGATCATTTTAAAGCCGGATTGTGTGCTTTATTCAAGCAGATCGATTTGTTTATATTTGAAAAGAGGACATTGTACAAGATTCCAGAGAAGGACTTCTGCAAACGTGGATCCAAAGATGTTTCAAGGGGACCCTCTACTCTGTTTTATGAGTTGCCATTGTGTCTTAGTTTCTTAAAATGCATTCTCTTTTTGCTCCCAGTCAGGGTTAGTTTATACGGAAGAAGAATGGGAGCGGGAGTGGAACGAACTGCTAAAACTGGCTTCGAGTGAACCACGCACTCATTTCAGCAAAAACGGAGGCACCGGTGGTGGGTGAGTAGAGGTCGCTTGTCCCATTTCTCGTTCAGGGGCCTGCCAGGGGCGATCTAATAAGAAAAGGGAAATTTGCATTAAACTTATAGAAATCTGCCTGGAGGAAGAGGGCATGCCCCAGTCAGTGGAAGTGATCTGTTGTAGATCATTGGTTTCGTTCACTGGATTTCACTTCTTTTAAGCTTGGTTTGATAATCTGAAGAAATCTCATTGGCCCCAAACGCTGTATCCTTTTCTTGTAAGGGCTAGATCACCGTCCGCAAGGTGACGGGCGAAAGCTGGGGTTCCAGGACTGCTTGATGGAGGCTAAAAGTCAGGAGAAAGCCCTCCAGACCAATGTCCCAACCTGCCCTCCAGCTGAGATTTGTACCCATCAGCTCTTCTACGCACCCTCATCTGCCTGTATGGCTCCAGAGTTGCATGGTGTGAAACAGTTTGGTGGGCAAAGCGCGGCAAGGCGATGGAGGGGCAGGAAAACTCTCCCTGTGCTTTTTAAGTGAAAATAGGCATGTGAGCAACTTCCTGATACATCCGTGCTCTTCAGCCAATATTTGCATCTTTAAATTCCACTATACCAATAGGCTTCTCTTCCCCGGCTGGTCCTTCCAAAGCGGGTGTGCGAGGACACGTTGGACACATCAGACTGGTGTGCCATCGTGCACAGAACTTTTGCACCGTTCAAGCAAGCGTGCAAGGACTCCAAGAAATAGTGCCAACGGCTCCAACTCGCATGCTGCCACTTCTGTAGAAACACTCTGTGTAAAGAGCAGCCTGGAGGGAAAAGGGTTTTAAAACCTTGTTCTGAAGGTCCATTGGGATGGCCAAGTTCGTGTGTGGGCAACCGAAAGCGTATCTCATGCGGCAGGCTTACCGGACTTAGCTTACCTTACTGGTAAAATGGGCTTCTTGCCACTGTGCGAAGAGCGCCTCCCAGGACAGTGACAAAGCCTGCGCTGTTCAGCCCCTCAAGGGCGGTGCGATTCCATCCTGGACCTATTTCAGGTCTCTGTTCCCATGGACTGAAAGAATCGCTACCTTTCCTGGTCTACATTGCAGCTTTCAAATGGGAGCAGATCCTGCTTCTTTACTTAGCTAACTTATTTTCTTCACCTATATTGTACCCAGAGCAATTAACAGTTGCATAAAATCAACAATGTACTCTCTACAAATGTCATGATTTAAAAAAACTATATTTCCCTATAGAATGTTTACTTTCATTGTCTCAAAGTGTTGCATGCATTGTATTTTCTCTCGTTTAATGCATGCCTTCCTCTGTGCTTCTTTTATGTTCAGTTTCTTAACAGCCGTTTTCTCAACCTCATTCTGTCCTTCCAAGACAAGTTCATACCTCATATTTTTGCATAGATTGGTGTGTTCTAATTAGGGATGTGCTAAGGTGTATTTGCCAAAAGAACTCAGCCTTTTAAAAGTTGTTTTTGACAGCTTTGCTTCTCCAGAAATCAGAACTCTCTCTCTCTCTCTCTCTCTCTCTCTCTCTCTCTCTC